ATATAACGCGGATTTCAATAAGAACTGGGCACCTGGCAAATTGACCAGCTGTGCTGTGAGAATGATTCTACACACTTGGTTTGACCATCTAGAGGAAAGTTTATCTTGTAACAAAGTTCAGCTCAAAAAATTTTCCCTGCCTGTGAAAACCAGTTGTCCTCCTACTGAAAACATTAACGAAACCCCTGTAAAACTGTATTTTTTATAACTATGATAAGGTCTGGAAGCCGAAGCTATTAGCTGGTTCTACTGATTGACAAAATTATCGTACAAATTTGCATGGTTAATCTTATTACATAAATGTCACCCTCTGCACAATTTACTTGTACCTTGTTACATTCAGCAGAAACTCTGTTAACTTTCTGTGTCTTTGCATGTTTTGGAACATCTGCAATATTCAGAATAAAATGTTTGCCATTATACTAAATGATGAAAAATTACTCCATGGGCAAATTATGTACAAATAGGTAAATTATAAAGAAACAAACAGTTTGGGTGGTTACATCCATCCATGATGTCTTAATCACTGAGAAATGTCTCTCAAATTACATACATGTATCACCACATACCGAAATAATCTTGCAACTTAGCAAACCGACTGTCAACCTTTTAAGTACTAAAGGTAGAGTATATTTGGCCTTACAATAAAGCTTGTATCATTAAACAATTACCTCAGCATAATACAGAGATATTCCACCCCAAACAAGATAGCTGTTAACAATCTGAAAACAACACCAGCAAATACTCAGTGAAGACATGCATGTTGATTTTGGACTTTTACAATAACACGCAAGATTTCTAACACTTAATTAACTCTTTCACTTTCAGTCAAATCCAATTATCTAACCAGTTGGTCGGCTGGTCAGTTGGTCAGTCATTAAGTTGGCCAGTTGGTTAGTAGGGCAGTCATTCACTCAGTCAATCAATCGGTCAATCAATCAGTCAGTCAGTCAGTCAATGAATGAATGAATAAATCAATCAATCAATCAATCACTCAGTCAGTCAGTCAGTCAGTCAATCTATCAATCAATCAATCAATCAATCAATCACTCACTCACTCACTCACTCAGTCAGTCAGTCAATCAATCTATCAGTCAATCTATCAATCAATCAATCAGTCAATCAGTCAGTCAATCTATCAATCAATCAATCAATCAATCACTCAGTCAGTCGATCAATCAATCAATCAATCAATCAATCAATCGGTCGGTCGGTCGGTCGGTCGGTCGGTCGGTCAGTCAATCAATCAATCAGTTAATCAATCAGTCAGTTGGTCAGACAGCCAGTAAACCAGTCAAACACTCAGTCAGTCGGTCGGTCGATCAAGCAAGCAAGCAATCAAGCAATTTTGCATTTGTGACTTTCTGAAAAAGAATCTGTCAACACTAATAAACTAGTTACATACATTTAAGAGCTAGGCAAAATGTACAGATGTCATCTTTTTACAACCTTAAGTCATGTAAGTCAACTAATGTATGCATGAATTTAAAAGCTCAAATTTAAGGAAGTGCTGCACACCTCATCATCCTCTTCTCCAAACGCTTCATGGCCAAGTCTCCTACACAATTCAATCACACCTGAAAAAATGTCACAACTTTGTTTCAACATTCTGCTGATTTTACCAATAACTGCAAAATTAATCTAATTAGTTTCTGGTGAAACACTAATTATGCAGACAGCATTAAACGTTATAAAAATACATGTTTAATCACTTACAAATTTTCACAAGAAGGACTCACCAACAAGCTCGCCATTTGACTGAACAATGGGCTGGCACAGAACTGATTGAGCTGTGCTATCTGAAATATAATAATACTTATATTAATAATACCAGTGCGAATTGAATAACATTCAACGTTTGTCCAGGCTGTATAGTCGCAGGTCCTCTTGCACTGCAAAACAATCTTACCATCTTACTAATTATAAAATAAACAAAATACAGTTTGAGTTGTACAATGTAATCACTAGTAATGCAATCTGATTCAATTAAGTTAAATGTACCTTCTAGCCCAATTCCTTCTGGAAAACGCTCATCCTAAAATCAAACAAATAAAAAAATTTATTCCAAAATTAAAGATCGACTGGGTCATAGATTGTGGAGGGAAAATAATTGGAGGTATTGCATTTAACAATTCATTTATAAAACTAATAATATGTCTATGTACATACACGTCCAAAAAATCTATAACCATCAGAAAATGTTTGTTTTGCTTCACTCACTTGTGCTCTGGTAAAAAAAGTAAATAAATAAACGCAGGCGAGCGTTACTTTAATCAGTTCCTTTAGTCAAAGTTACCAATCTTGTCAATCTTCACAAGTTTTAATACGAAATGTAGTTTTTCATTCCTTACCCCCAATACTTCATTGGTTCTCAAAGGCTTGTGAGTATAAGCCACATAAGCTGCAATTGTAGTTGCCTCTTTTATCTGAATATTTGATGATGTCCTCCTGAAACAAAGTTTTAACACATTAGAGGTACTTATTGCATGTACATGCAATGCTAAGTCACACAGTTTACATGATACACTGTTGAGCTCTGGACTTAAGAGATTAAATCTCAAACTCTCACTGGCAACAAAAAAAAAATTTGCAGTGGTGGGGTTTCTTGTGAGTATATTTAAAATCGCTGCAAAGGCATAACCACAGGAAAATGATTTGAGTTCAAGATAAACATGTACATGTATGTATGTACATTGCAAGTAACGAGAAGGTCTGTATTTAATATAAATATTACATGTTGCAGTATAACTGGGTTAAAGACAGTGAGGTTCTTCTAAACTGGTTATATTTGCCTAGATGGTCTCTTGAGAAAACTTTTGAAGTCAACATTTGGATGACTGCTTATTTTGCATTCACTACAACTCACATACATGTATCTCTACCAATAATATTAGAGAAATGCATGGCTGAACTGGAAGAAAAAAAATTTAATTTTGAACTAATAGGAATCACGGCAAATAGATTACATGTTACCGACTTACCCTTCTGGATGATTAGGATTGTAGATGTACAAGGCCTGATGGCAGCAAAGAATAAATTAGTTAAAGATTATACTTGCTATCTTGCTCACATGGAATACAAAAAGTCGACACTGACAACTTTATAAGTTAAAAGAAAGCTTGATGGCTGTGGTGCAACGTTCTCTTAATCCAGATCACGTGTAAACAGCTGCCATCAAGCGTTCTTTTTATTGATGGATTTAGAGGATTTAGAATTAGCTGAAACATTTTTACTATCATCATTATCAAAAACAACAACAACAAAAAGAGTCAGTGGAACAAAGGTTATAAAGATTTTTCAACAAAAATACCTCCTGACTACAGCTATTTTATATTTAAGAACAAAAAAAATATATTAGAAATATACAATTTATAATAAATTAGTAATAATTCTAAATGTTTACCTTTCCTGTTGCATCAACCAAGTATAATGTGAAGGAGTCCGCATGGCATGCTGATGATGACAAAAAAAAAGAACAGAAGATAAAATTATAGCACAAAATGAAGATCTATAGAGCTGTACATATACATGTATGCAGTACAAAAATGTAATTTTTGTGTAGGTTAATTAGTCCTATTATATGTTTTCTATGGGCTGGCTTAAAAACTAAACTAAAATAAATTACACTATTTAGAGGGGAGGCCACATCAGCCTAAGCTGGTTTTCAAGCTGGTTTTCTATATCTGGGTAGAATTGGAATTTGGAGATGCTGGTTATAGTGGAGTGAGGAAAACCGCAGAACCTGGTGAAAAACCCTCAGAGCAACACGAGAACCAACAACAAACTCAACCACATATGGCACAGAGCAAGAATTGAACCCAGGCCACATTGGGAGGCGGGCACTCTCACCACTGCACCATACCTGCCCCTATGCCTGCTCCCATATACAGGCCAATCTAAATCAATTGACTGTCGTACTGAGCGGTTTTCATTTGTCATTTGAAAATCAATTGGTTTTGCATTAACTATGCTACTTGTACCTGTACCTGATTGGCTTAAAAATCTTGTGCCACTTTTTCATCCAATCAGAAGTGAAACCAAAACCAGATATAACTCGTTCTCACTAATTTTCCTGCACTTTGCATCAGGTACTATTGAGCAAGTAATTACATTGAGTCTTGATTGGCTAAACACTAAATTTTCTGTGTTCTTCTGTGATTCAGGGCTGGAAATAACAGTCCGTCATCGGACATTGTCCGACCAAATTTTAAATATGTCCGGCCAATTTCACATTATGATCAGACATGATGTCCGAACATTTCACTAACACCAAGTTGCATGTATTGTCCATCCATAAAATTTAGTTAGATACATTGTTGAAAGGCTCGAAATTGCAACTGGTATGGTCGCCAATGCGGCTAAAATTTCATCTTTGGTGACCAAAAATTCTGGTTTAGTCGACAGTCGAAAATACGTCTGCGTTCACAGGCTACTATAATGGCGGCTACGTTTCTCTGTGTTGACAATCAATAATGGTTATTTTCTCAGACATTATGTCCTTCCAGGAATACATAGTCAAAGATCTTTGCTTCTATTACATTGATCAATATAAGTAAAGAAGGCAATCTATCCTTTTGCTTTGCTGTAAAGGATTCCCTCACATCGGAAAATTTGCAAATGGGTCGCAAATGCCTGATCATGTTTGAAATAGCCCTATAATGCATCGCAAACCCTTGAGCATTGAGTACATCATGTACGCCTACCGATTGTGTCTCTTGGAATGCATGAATCTGTCAGACATTACTTCAGCTATGTATACAAAATTAGCGGCCAAAAAAGTCTTGGAATTTTTTTCTTTACGGCTTTTATGCATTGAGTTCTTTTCTAAATGAAATTCCTACTTAGTCGCCAAATGGCTACTCAAGAAGTTTTTTTAATTTTGGGCCCTTGACTATGACAGTTTGAGCCATATCCTGGAGCCCATTATGGGCTCCTACAATATCATAAAGCAGAAGTGTTCATCTTTCCTGTACTTGCCAAATAAAGTACTCTTCAGAAATCACCCTATTATGCATTACATGCATTGCGATATGCTGTTAGCCCTTCATGTATATACCCTAGAGTCAACTTTGGTCAGGAGCCCATCACTAGGAGCCTGCAACTCCCATACTAAACCCATGACACAGTATTTTTACAAACCCGTCTATTTTCAGGCCTCTTTTCCCATGAAAAAGGTCAGTTCCAGTCAATGATTATGAGCACGAATCGCTAAGGAGAAAAATGGCGGCCTCAGGTGGACATTTCGACCTAATCTTCCGGTGAAATTATAAAGTCCTTGATTATGATTGGTCACTGCAGGGGTCTGAATTCGCGGTAAATTCAAACTAAAAATAGATGGGTCTTAAGGCCGAGATAGGAATAATTGGAGTAGTTGCACACTCCTAGTGATAGCCTTCAATAGAAAACTAGGTTTACTTGAAGAACATATAATAATCAGGAGATAACCAGTAAAGATCGGTGCAGTCATCTTGTAGATTAAGTCATATAATCATCATAAATGATAAATAGATGAAATTTAAAGGCAGTTTTAAACGATTTGTATTGAAAATCTTTACAGTATGCTAATAAATTTTATTATGCTAATTACTTATGCAGATCAATTATGCAAATTAATGTCCAGTCAAATTGATAAGATGTCCAACCAAAATGAAGATTTGAAAGGACACATGTCCTGTTAAAGAAGAAAAATTATTTCCAGAACTGGTGATTGGCTCTTCCCAGAGTGATTACTTTCAATTGGTTTTGGTTTTATGACACTCAGTTGAAAACCGCTCAATAACAAAGTCTAACTTTACAGCTAACTAAACTGCTGAGCATACATGTATGTATGGCAGAGTCTACAGCCCATAACTGATTCACTGCCTAATTTCTAACACCAGTTAGTGCCACTTTATTTATCATCACCAGTCACTGTCCAACATCTCCGTGTATAGCTAAACTAGACGCTCTAAGAGTGTTTACTCGGGTGTCGTACCACAATATCAAATCGTACTTTACGAAAACGTGTATTGGACACAATAAAAGCAAACTAAAGAATAAGGATATTTTAGCACAAGAGTTCCGTTTAGACATTTACTATTCAAGTTGCTTCATTGAGTATCCTCCTCATCCTATCGCAAGTTGTAAGTTTAAACCATTTTGGTTCAAGAATGAAGCACAGCTGTCTACACATTGATGAAGAAGTTGTTTGCAAAGAATTTTCGAGGTCTTTTTACAACTTATGGTGATTACCTTGTACATGCTAGCAGAAATTGTACAAAGTTTGTTTACTGGTCGTGGCGATCCGAGTAAATTGTGTAGCTGAACATCTTTGCCATTTTACCATCTTAAACCTTTTTCAAGAGTCATATCTTCTTTGGAGAGCAAATAATCCCTTTCGAGAAAGCCAAAACAAATCATGATAAACTCCTTCGTGAAAACAACACTCCTGTGATTAGGCTCAAATTGCATTGCACATAATTTGCATAAACTTTCAAGTTGTGTATTTTGCCGACAACCTCCAAGAATTTGCGACTCTTAACACAGTTTATGAAGAAATATTAAAGCTACATATTTTTATTGAATCAAGGCGGGAGTATTTTCAAAAAGGACTCATTTATAACGGAAGATGCGGCATTCTATTTTGCTATGTATGTTGGTTTCATGCTCGTCTAGTTCATGTCACACATGATTTTCTTTTGCAGTCAGACACAGTTTTCTAAAAGAATTGACGATTGATAAGACTGCTAAATATATTTGAACTACTAGTGAAATAACTGGTTAAACTATTGTCAATGCAGATTTTCCTTAGAACTTGGCAAGAACATTGGTTCGTCAATAATCCTGCGCAGTTTCCTGCACAATCAAAGGTTCAATTCTCCCACACAATGTGCCTCCAAATTCATGTTATTTTTTTCCCTGCACCCTACTAGAAAGCCAACTGACTTGGAGGTAAGATATTTAATTCAAGTTACCGAAAGTCTTATCTTTACAACTTTGGAGATCGACATATTTTGTGCGGTGAACGAAACAAGTCGCATGTTTTTAATGAGCTACGAGTCCAAAAAGGTTTTCGTATTTAGCTCGTTTTATTGCAATATGATTTGTTTTACTGCAATGTTCTAAATAATAACAGCAGTAGCCACATTACCTGCCTATTTTTTGCCAGTGTTTTCATAGATTGAACTCATACTGCAATCGGCTCAGTTGTTATCTCACAAGAACGTTTCGAGCATGAACTTTGCTTACCTGGCTGGCTTTCAAGCAATATAATTCATGGACCAACCCTTTCTGAAAACGATCGACATCTTTGTATGTGAGATGAACATATAAGGCGTGATTCTTGCAAAAAACTTTCTGCATAAAACACTGATTTCTGTCACAAAGAGCGAGCAATGTTGCGTTTCTCCTCCCCAGTTTCCATGGTCTACGCATGGAACACCTGGGACCATGAACCCCTTTTGGCGACCAAAATGCTTGCATTTTATGACTCGGGCTTTCCTACGGAAGCCCAAGTAAAAAAGCAGTGCTTTCAACAAGATCCAGCACCTGCCTGAGCCCTGGTGGCAATTCTCTTGTGAATGGCCAGCTATCAATGTTTCCAGTTATTAAAAGGTGGCCAGGGCTCTCCTCAAGACGAAGTTCTTATGAACCTCTCTTACCACTGTCTTGCAGGTGATGACCAGAGTGGTCACCTCAGGGGATGCCAAAATGACAAAGTTTAAATCTGGGATTCTCCCTACATGTAACTTCTTGACCCTAAGAGAACGTCATTAAAAGTAGACCTCTGCCGATTGAGCCACAAAAATGTGTCAACTATTACAAACATTTCCCCTGAAAATGCCAAAAATAAGTCAAAATAAGCTTTCCTTCACATTTGGGATACATGGTGACCTATACAGTAGACCAGGAGAGTTTGGCATAGATGCTACCTGCACTTTAAATCTTATTTAAAACACTTGGAAACATGTGTTATTCTTGATGACTCCTCTTAGAAATAATAAACGATTTTTCGACCATTAGTCACCTTCTGTGATAAGTGAAAGGAAATAAACATACAGCAGTCTGAACCCTGGTGTCAAAGAATACAAGGGTTAACCACACAATCACAGAAATCAGCAATATATCTTCACCTGATGCAATGCAGTTAGCCAATTCCATTAACACCTTCTGCTTGTTGGGAGACTGATGAATGTCATTTGTCAACTCCTCCAGCATTTTTTTCTTGTCACTGTGTACACAAAACTGTCAACAGAAATGTAACAGAATCAATAAATTAGTAAAAGTTCTCAGGAAATACAATATCCTTGGTGAGGCACTTCAGTTAAGTTATTTCAATGAGTCAACAGAATGCAAACCTAGGAGCATAACTCCTGGATAAGATGTCACATGTACAGTACAGTGTATCAATAGTTCATCACAGCTAATCCCCCAACACTTTGAGACATTGTTAATTTTAATGGCTCAATTTGCCAAAAGATGCCACACAATACTGCTGCAAAGTCTCCTCCCAATTAACCGAGCCATATCACAAAGTAGAGAGGAAAAATTTAAGAGTTCTCTGGACAACCATTACAAAGAAAGTGGTTACTCAAAAACAAAAAATGTATGAATGATAAAAATTTATATAATTTACAAAAACACAGGAAGAAAGGAACAGGTGAAGTTTGACTTGAGATGAGTGTCATGTCCTTCATTTTTTCAGACAGAAACATTAAAGCATGCATGCTCGGCAAAACAATGAATTTTGTCAGTATGTTAAAATTTGATCATAGTAGCACTTTAAAGTTTCTCTTACTAGTCAAGAACCGTCCATTTTTTATTAATCAATAAATTTTCTTCCTTTGCAAATTTTGTGTCAATCATATTTACTGTAGTATTTGTTAGTAACTAAAACTGTGCATTTCTCTTGGACAAGCCATGTCAGAGATTCACCAGAACAAATCAAATGGTTGCTTGTAACACACAATCAGAAAGAGCTATCAATAGACCCTGTTCCTGTCCAGGACGGCTTTTTGGCTTGACACAAGTGCAAGCAATAATGATTAAGACCAATTGATTATGCTATTTTTGACATAATTTGAAGCAAGCAGATGACTCTTGTGGGAAATTTGCCGTTGAAAATCTCACATTCAGTTTGACTCGGTCAATTAAATGAAATGGTAATAGAAGTTATATTTCCCAAGAAAATTCTATTTTGCAATATGTTCCAACTGTATTTTACTTTCTTATGCATTTCCATCAATAATTACAGACTACAATTTGTGGAGAACAATTACTACGCCTTTCAATAACATGCGCACTCTAAAATTCAAAGCTCAACCGACAAATGTGTTTTTCCTTACCGCCAATCAAATGTTCGGCGGCTTCTCCCAGCTTCCAACTACTGTGGAGCACATGGTAATCAAATCAAATCATTGAGCACAGTTCAGACAACATAGTCGAAAGCTGGGAGGCACCACCGAACATTTGATTGATGGTAGTGAAAAACGCATTTGTCGGTTGAGCTTTGAATTTTAGAGTCCACATGTTATTGAAAGGCGCGGTAATGCTCAGTTTACAGAAGATGTCAATTGAAGGATTACCCACAAAATGTTGCATAATTTAGTATAATTTGCGTATTAAATTTAATCTTTCCCAGGGGATTTATTCTCAGTCCACGCACACATGTGGAAATTATCTACTTGTGTCTGATTGGACTGACATGGAATATTAAATCTTTATATGGATTGAAAGGCCTATAGGGTCTCGGGCAAAAGCCCTCTGATTGCCAAAAAACTTCTTAAAAATTAATGGAACAGACGTCAAAAGATTCGAACCTTTTACTTTCGGGGCATAAATTATTAATAATTTCCTGAACGCTAAAATGAAAATTAGCCGGTTCCGTAATTTTACGAGAATCCCCATGTGTCGATCACGACTTACAAATTCCATAATTTATGAAATAGGCACCGATGGCTTCTTTGACAAACCGTAGTATAAGCTTATTAAATGTTCAAAACTTAGTCCAACCAGTATACATGACTGTTGTTTCTTGGATTAACGTTCATAATTATTGAAACCTTTATCCCCTTAATTTGTTACTGGAGAGGAAAACGTTGTTTGGGAAATAAGAAATTAAATTGAAATCTAGTCGTTTCGAAAACTGCTTTGGCAAAACACAACATTCGCAAAAAAGTAAATAAATAAAAGAAAATGTCAATTTTCGAGTAAAACAAACACAAATGCCGGCATTTGATTTCGAGGTTGTCTTGTAAAACAAGGATATTTTCATGTCAAAAACGTCAGAACTATCCTGGGATTAGGGAACATAAGCTTACCTTCCACTTCGACAGAGACGGTCGGTGAGGATCTGAAATTTTGAAAAAGAAAATCGTTCTCAACAAGAAACTAATAAGAATTAATTGTATTTAACTGACCACTTCGATTAAACAACAGGGCAAACGGAAACACGCTGCTGGTTTCTTACTTACCACTTTGTTTATTATTTTCATGACCAAGGGAATTCGCAGGTTTCTTGCCGCCTTTATTCTTTAATTTTCGTGTTTTCCTGATAAGCCAGCGCTCTAAACGGTCTTGATCGACATGTTTCATAACATAATCCTCCAGAAACACGGGATTTGCTCGAAGAAAATTTCTCACTGCCTCCTCATCCATCTCTGAAACAGGACAAGCAATAATATGGTCTGTTCGCATCTTTTTTTGCAAAAATCACACACGAAAGGCGCAAGTGCGCCACGCTTCGTACTAAAAGGTATAATCGTGAAAATGCAATTTATCTCTGAAAAAAAAACCTCATTACAATGTAATAAGAGCGCCTTTTTTAAGCCACAACGTAGTCCAAAAGTATACAGTATTGTATTTCTACTGAGTTTTATGATACATAACCAAACGATCTCTGCATCACATCACGTCAAACAGAACACTTTACAGTGAAAATTGGAGCTATAAAGGTCATCTTAAAACTGCGTTACGGGTCAACCTACCTTGCCCGTTCGCAATCGCTTTTCCTTGGACCAAAGCTGGTCGGAACGGTCCATCGCCAAAGTTTGCGGTCAGATCGATGTGGGTAATGTGACTTCCCGTTCCGTGGTTGTTTGAAGGTCGGTTGCTAGTATGCCCTTTCGCTGCCTTCGCCGAGACCGGCGATGAGCCATGTCCGCTCGAAACACGCTGATAACTTGGACTGTGGCGCGAACTGCTCGGTAAAGGTGGAAGCCGACGATTCCCAACCTGGCGTGAAGGACTTGACATCAGGATTTTTGCCACGGGTTTCCTTTCATGCCAACTTTTTAACGTAGAATTTCGGCGAGCGCACAAAACGATGTTTATCTTCCATCGCTAAGTAAGAAACAGCTGCCGTCTGCAGATGGTCACGTGACTCAATCTGGTCATCTGTCAAAAGCGCCAAAACAATAATGCTACTTCAATTGTAGTTTTGCTCACTTATCGTATCAACGTCTTTTTTAAAAAAACTTATAAAAAGCGAAGCGAGCCGCTAGAACGTGCTAAGAGACAAAAGAAGTGTTTTGGGTGGTCGAAAAGAATAAAAATTTATTCGCCATAAATTTCCGCTCACAGCATCGTTTGCAGTAAATTGAAAGGAGACAGAGATAAACCTAGACAAAACAAGTGTATATATTTTTAGAGCTTTTAAACACACAGGTTTTGGATCCTCATCCTTTAATGGAATTTTCGCCTGAATAACGCAGGCTAATGTAAAATTTTTTTAAAAAAAATTCCCGGCTTAGCTCGCGGAGGTATAGTTCGCTTCCCTTTCCAGTTTCTCACCCAGACAGCAATACCTGGATCAAACACTGTAATCCCCTTTAATTCCACTCTTTTATTTGAGCCGGAAAAAAAATTCGCTTAATATATAGCCTCATCAAGGGCCGGAAACTTAACTTGATATCAGTATAAAAAAAAAAAGATATTTTGATCGAATTCCATCTGCCGTCTGTTATTTTCCTTTTGGTGTGCAAAGTCTTGGTATATGAAATATTTACTAACTGAAATGGATGAGATGCAAGGAAAGCCTCCCGTTCACGCGAAACCAAAACAAGATAGCATTTACTTATACATTTATAACTTTCCTGTAGGCAGCCATTAAGCCCATAGGCATATTAACATCAAGTACCAAAAAAAAAAATCTACAATGAAGAAATAAAATATGAAGGTGAAAGTACTGCTGCTTTAGCGGGCTACCCATGATGAAGTTTCAAAACGTTGACCAAATTTAAAAAAAAATGTTGGCAAAAAAGGTACAAAATACTCATGACACACGCAGCGGATTTGAGATAAGAACTAAGCAAATGACTTTTTTTACGATACAAATAGCCTGCACGCGTGGTCACTGCGTACTGGCGAGATTTCGCGCGCGATTTTTCTTGCGGTTTCGTCTTAGCACGCGCGCGAGCTCTCTTGCGTACAGTCGACTTCGCGCGCGAAATTCCACCACCCACCTGGCCCTACGCAGGTTCACCGTATTTGCGTGCAATGCGTGTGATACTTCTTACTTTCGTGACGGCTCAATAAGTTCGACTCCGCTTCCCTGACATACCACGTTCATATCAGACATCAGCAATGTCGAAAGCGTAAACAAAAAACAAAAAAAAACGTCAAGTATGGTAACTAAAACAAACACAAAGATGGCAAGTTAAGGCTGGTCGGTTATTTATCACCCTTGAAGACAACACACGACTAGTACAATTCTTTTTCATCGTACTCAGCCAGAGCGATCTGTTCTGCCTCTTCAGACTTTTCACAGGACACAGTGAAAGGTGTTCAGCAGCAGCTCTACATAGAGAATTCTCCGACATCTTCTAGTTGTGTGACTCAAAGTGGGTTTACCTTGAGAATGGAGGTTAATCAAGGGCAACCAATGCAACGCGCATATTAAGGGAGGATTACTCCCAGAAAAATTGGGTGGGGGTGCGCAGTCCACAGCCTGCCTCCTAAAACCCTTACCCTATTTAAGATCAAAATCTGCAATTTTCCTTGCCTGCATTGCAGGCATAAACGGGGAAGGGCTAAGGAGGCAAAAAGCACCAGTCCCTCTCCTTCTATCCATGCTTTGCCTCCCCCCCTCCCACGTTAAATGTCTGCTACGGAGGCTATGATTTTCCTTACCCTATTTATGACTTGTCCAAAAATTTGATACCCTATTTAAGACCTGTCAGATCAGTGTTAAAGGCACTATGAAGGGCTTTTGTTGATGGTCTATGGATAACGATGAAAAAGTACGTTCTTCTAAAAACCATACCGAATTAAAGACTTATGTGCAAAAACCATACCCTATTTGAGACCAAAATGGGCAAAATTGATACCTTTTTAATGACGAAAATGGTTAAAAATTCATACCCTTTGGGGCAGCACATACCTATAGCTCATATAAGGAAGTACCCTCCCCTTCACCTTACTTGCTCTAATCAAAAATTCAGATCTAAAATTATATATATGATATATAAACCTTGCCCATCTAGAAAATGTCCATCTACATTTAATTATGAAGTGAAAACTAGCTAAGTAATCCAATACTGGCAAGTGACAAAAATCAGAATCCATGCCAATTAGGAAGGCATCAGGTTAGCCTTAAAATTAGGGAAGTGCATTTGGAGTAGTGTCCACTAGATAGCAGGTGTGTCTCGTTAACTAGCTATTTTCTGGTACTATAGGTGGTTGTCAAATCAAGGAAAGAACATTTACTCACTGAAGTTTCTGATACCAAGGAGGTGGTAGAGCAAGTAATCTGACATCTTAATCGTACATTTAGCAATTAAAGTAAACTATGACTTGCCCAGGGCAAGCCAAATTTGAGAGCTTCTGGTCTGAAGGGCAAATTAAAAATCAAGTCTTTTTTAGGCCTGGGGATGGGGAGGCAACAACATTAGTGAGTTCTGAAGGGCTCTAATTGAAAACTACTTTTAATGCATATACACTAGTCTTACAAACTGTGAGATACAACCTTCAAGATTTGTTTGGGTATACTAACATCAAACAATGTATCTTAAAAAAATGTAACAAGATACAATAGAACTCTGATCTATCAGCAGAGTGGTAACTTAGTCTGCATTAAACTATACATAGTTTTTCTCACTGAGACTTTTATAAGCAGGACTTAGTGACACCTATAACAAAACACAAAACTATCATTTGAAGGAAATTTACGTGTAAGTCAGATTTCCGGCCAAACCAGAGAATGTTTCTTGGAAAAAGTCCTTCCAGCATGAAAACAGGCCCTGAAATAAACAAACCAAAATAACTACACATACATTCATAATAAATTATTTGAAAACCTTTCATATCAATATAGAGATCTTAATGTAGAGTGTAGGTGTGTGACTAAAGTGGCAGATCCAGAAAGTAGCAAGGTGCGAAGGGGAGGCGGGAGGAGGGGTGATGGGAAATTAGGGTGAGGGAAGGGTCTTGCTTAAAATAGGGCCACTTAAGATAGAGGGGGGGTGCCATGAGGAAAAGTGACAGTGGGGGAAGGGTATTGCAAGTAAAGTCACAAATTACAACTGCCTCCATTTAGCTACAAAAATATACCCAAGTATTTCTTGTCTGACGTAACTGTTCCATCAGGATTACAGTTTTCTTAGAGGTCTGACCACTTTCTGGAACAATTCATGTCTTCTGAGAAATATCCAAGAACATTTTTGTGCCAAATTGACATGCTTTGCTTACCATAATCTGCCGACTTAGGCAAGTGGCTCAAACATGTAAGGCTGCACTCCAAGTTCCTGGTCAAAAATATCATCAAAATCGTCATAGTCATCATAATCATCGTAATCATCATAATCATCATCCTCATCATAATCATCGTAATCATCGTAATCATCATCTTCGCTATCATCATCGTAGAAAACGTCATTAACTTTGCATCTATTTTGCAATGGCTCTGGATCACCGGGAAGAACATACGTTCTCCAAGCAAACTGAAGTCTGGTGATTCCTTCTTCACCTTGTGAGTGGACAATTGCAGCAGCAACACCCGCTAGATAACCAAATGATCCTAATGGAGTCTCTGAACTGGAAGACCCACCAACGCCTCCATAAGGGCCATAGCTTTTTGGACTGCCATCAGTATCACATTTGTTGGAGTAAAATGTCAGGCTATCAATCATCCAGCCAGATCTAATTTCAACTTTAACAATCCTCTCATTTTCCTCCAAATGAAATTCATGGTGTTCAGACTGAGCAGAGTCACCTCCAAACTTCTCCACTTTGTCACCATTGTAAACAATCTTGAGGCCACCAAGCACAGGTCGACCATCCCACCTTCGAATCCACAGTTCCATTCCCTTGATGTAAACTTCATTGTCTAAATCTTCAACTGTCTCCTTGTCAGTGTGATGTCCTGTTTCAGGATTCACCTGCCCTCCATTAGCAAAGGAGCGTCCCCAGGTGACAACCTTTCTGGCAAATTCCCTTGGAGTGGCCCACTTTTCATCTGTTGAATCTTTCTCAGGGGGATCATCTTTCAGTTTCTGGGCTTTTACCACTATTTCTTCACAGGTGTCTGAGAGAAGCTTGCGTGATAAGACTTCCTTGAGATATGACTCTGACAGAGTTGGGAGTCTAACCAAGGGCAACACTTTTGGAAGATAATCTTTTCGATTTTCGACATCATGCTCGATGTACTGGAACACCGCTTGAAGCACGATCTTTTCCCTTACTTCTAAACACGGGATCAAGCCATCGATGACCACACAGATCTCTTCTTCTGCCAGGAGCTCGGTCAGAAAATTGAACGGAAGACTCAGGAACTCCTCTTTCTTGCAGACATCTGCAAAATGTCGTAGGCCATGCTTTTTAGCTTCTTTCCTCAGCTCTTCCAGCGCAAACACATCTGCAAGCTGCCAAATGCCCAGGCAGGTTTTGTCATCGATAGCGCGTTTCAAGAAGTCCCCGCAAGAATTCTTGACAAACTCTACACCCAAATAATTGGCTGCTTCGAGCAAAGTCTGCACATTGTCTTTGCTGATATCAATATTTCCCGAATATGCGAACTCAATCAAATCCCCAACAGCGCTTTCGTCCAAACAAAGGATCTCTATCTCGTCTTTCTTTCCGTCTTCCCAGTTGGTTCCAAGAAGGGCTTCAAAGTAAGGGCTGAATGAGGCCAACACGACACGATGGGCTTGCACCTTCCGTTTTTCGCCGATCTTCAGGGTGACATCGGAGTATCTGCCATCTTTGTACATGGTCAAAAGACCTTTGAGCAGATGGAATCCATGTTTCGAATCTGTCACGTGTGATTTATCGATATCGTTTGAGAAAGACCTTTCCAAAAGAGGTTTCTCGAACTTCTTGGCTGCGGCCATGTTTGCGATCAACTTTCGGTTCACGTGTGGGTGCCGGGTGAACATCGTAACTACTAACCAGACCTCTCTTGGGAAGACTTCGAACCACTGGAGTCTCCAAGTTATTATTTTAACCTGATTTTAACTATTTCTCTCTATTTAATTTTTTTCCCCTCTTTTCAAAATATACTAGCTTCAATTTTGAAGCACTTCAATAATCATGTTAAAATGACGGAGGGTATGTAAAGAAGGGGAAATCGAATAAAATACTTCGTCCCCTCCCCTCACTTGACTCCCTGCCTGCCTTGCGTTCATCCTCGTTCCCAGGGTCTTTACCGTCATGGGCTCTGGGAACGAGTTTGAGACAGGTGACTGATGGGTTGACTTGTCATCCCGAGACGATAAAACCACGTGGAAGGAACTGTCTATGGCGTACGATCCCCGCCAAAATTCATTGTTTGAATTTTAACTCCAACCTTAATTGCGATCGTTTTCCGTCAAGATAATGCAGTTCTTCGATCTCTCGACAGGCAGTCGTTTCCCAGTGACAAACTGTATCATCATCAAATCTTGGTTGTAACTGGACCGTGGAATAAAGAATTATCCGAATAAAGATTTGATGGATTTCCGTCTGGTCAAATTACTGCTCAAAATTTATAACCGGACTCGTCGCAACTTAACTGATGCCTACATAAGCTTACATTTTGTTTAAAAGGCTTTTTTTCCGCACTCGCTGTCAGTTTCATTCCGTTCGCGTTCTTCTGGAAACCCCTGTTAAGGCAGGCTAAGAAGTGCTAACCACCGCACACCTTTTTGGTTTCATACATTGTTTTGTTATGAGTTGAGTAACTTGCAATACAGGCAAGTCTTTAACTCTCATTGCAACACGAATCCTTGGATTTTGGAGTTCGATTCTTACACTGATCTGGAGGGTTTAGCTTGACACGTGACGGGGAGCAAAATTTTATGCGTGACGCTCGAAAACCAAACAAAAGACATACATGATTTATGAATTTATATACATAAAAAATGTAGTTACAATTTGCGCATGAGTCCAATAACAAAATGATCAAGAAGGTGTTATGGCCAGAGTTTTGTCTGTACTCAGTGTGGAGTCAACTCAAACCCGATTTTAGCTTGTTCCAGGCGCGAAGAACGACACAAGGGAAAATATGGGAGTGGCTTCGGGTGATTTCCCGAGCTTCACCAGAGGAAAGTTGTTTGACTGGAGCCGGCTAACCTGACTTGTCAAATAATCAACTCAGTGGAAGCAAAAAAAACAAAACAAAACAATAAAGAATCTTAATTAACCGTGTAGAATGACGGAATATGTTTTAATTTGCTTGCTCAGCTGTGATTATTGAATTTCTTATTATTTGTTTAGCTGTTATAACAGGGTAACTACATGCGCAGTTGATTTTCGTTTTGACAAACGAACTTCAGAATCAGTTCAAGCTTAGTTCGAAGCACGACGAAAAAACCTGTCTAGCGAAAATCTTCAGAGATCTCAGGTAAATAGGTACTTTTTTTGAGAGATTTTCATACTGATTTATGAAATGAAATTAATTTTTTATAAGAACAGTTTAGGTGAAGGCAATACCTCCACGCATTCATTGAAAATCGACCCAGTTGAGCTTTGAAGTTCAGCTGAGTTGCAAATCAGTTATTTTCACTACAGCTGGCAAAAAAACATTTCCCGCGTCACAGTTGCCTGATTAGAAAGTCTTCTAAGAACAGCTCAGTTTCCGATCAATACAAATCTGATAAGTGGTGATCATGACAAATAATATTTAATTCATTCATTATGTTGAAACCTAGCTTGTTATGACTTAAAAGTATCACTGTAAAAATGGTTGTTGTTTTTAAGCTGTTATTTAACAGAAAGATTCCGTAATGTCGTGCGTGTGTTCAGTAATAGATCGCAGCTGACGTCAAAATGTAGTAAGAACCATTATTATGTGACTAGCTCCGTGAGCGGGGAAGATGAATCAAATCCTGCGCTGTGATTGGCTACCCGAGCGGGCAAGATGGAG